TACTAATGATAATGATAAATAATAATGATTATTATTATAATGATAATGATGATAATGATGATGATAAAGATTATAATGATAATGATGATAATAATAATATAACAATAATAATGACAACAATAACAACTATTATTATTATTTTTATCATTACCATCACTGCTATTGTCATAATTCGGTATTCTTTTGTTTGTGAATTTTGAAATTTTACCCTTCGTAATTCGCCATCATGTTTTGCTTAACGCTCAGGAACACAAAAACTCGAAATATCTACCTACCGAATATCCTTTTTTTTTATCTCTCTCTACTCCCAAAACTGCAATGTGCAACTGGCAATGCAACATAAAAAGTATTTTGTAATCTGATGATTTCCCTTGGGTGTTCTTGTCGCATGAGGCAGGATGTTTTTGTTCTAATGTTTTTATTTTATTTTTATTTTATTTTTCAAAAGTTTCTTCGAATTATCATAGAAAACGAGAGACAGGAATTCCATGTTGATATCATATGATAATCACATACTTATCACACAATTTCATAATTCTTAAACGAAATACCCCAAAATTTGGGTATCCGGCTTTATATATAAGTTATCATATCACGAATGCAATTTGTCGAAACGATTATGGAAAAATGTACGAGTGCGAGTGAATAATGAATGATGAAATTTTGTATTCCAATTTCAGGCCTATTTTTTGTACAAGTGATTCTTATTATTTGGGCAAAATGAATATAAAACATGAACATAATGAGTTGGTCAATGCTCATTCAATACAGTTGTTGCAGAATAATGCATTATCCCATAAATAAAAACACAAAATACTTGCAAAATGAAGACTAAAAATATATTGTATTTCCTATTTTACCAAAAAAACAAAACAAAAAAAAACAGCTTATCAAACTATCATTACCATTATAAATATTGGTTTTATGACTTTATCATACAACAATATATTATTTCATTGCATAATATTATCATTAATATCATTAGTATTTGACCCATTATATCATATCTTAGTCATCAATGGAAAGTAAACTATAAAACATACTATTTATAAAGTGAGGCATTTGAAAACTGAATCAAAATATTGTAAACTGAGTGACCTAAATCAGAGAGAGAGAGAGAGAGAGAGAGAGAGAGAGAGAGAGAGAAAGAGAGAGAGAGAGAGAGAGAGAGAGAGAGAGAGAGAGAGAGAAAGAGAGAGAGAGAGAGAGAGAGAGAGAGAGAGAGAGAGAGAGAGAGAGAGAGAGAGAGAGAGAGAGAGAGAGAGAGAGAGAGAGAGACAAACAGGACCAACCCCACCCCCACCCCAACCTCCTCCTCCTCCTCCTCCCCCTCCTCACCCGAACAGCGACGCCCTGGGAGGAGACCCAATACGCTTCAGAGACGCCGCCGTACCACTGGGCCCTCTTCTGCAGCATGTCCGCCGTGACGAAGGGCGTCTCGGGGCGCGGTGTCTTCTCCAGGGGCCACGGCTGCGAGATCTGCTCCCCGCCGCCGTACCTGGGGGGGGAGAAGGGGAGATAAGGGGAGATAAGGGGAAAGAAGGGGAGGTTGGGAGAGATAAGGGGGAGGGAGTGCAAGAGATAAGGGGAAAGAAGGGGAGATAAGGGGAAATAAGGGAAGATAAGGAGAGGCTGGGAGAGATAAGGGGAAAGAACGGGAGATAAAGGGAGGCTGGGAGAGATAAGGGTGAGGTGCGAGGGATAAGGAGAAAGAAGGGGAGAAAAGGGGAGGTTGGGAGAGATAAGGGGGGGGAGTGCGAGAGATAAGGGGAAAGAAGGGGAGATAACGGGAAATAAGGGGAGTTAAGGGGAGGCTGGGAGAGATGGGGGGGGGGAGTGCAAGAGATAAGCGGAGGCTGGGAAAGATAAGGGAGATTAAGGGTGTTTAACTTGGTGATAATGATATGGTGATAATAATATAAGAATGATGTGATGATAATGGTATGCTAATGATATTCTCTACACGTGGTAGAAATTGAAGCCGAGGATATGGTAACGAAAAGGGGAGACTGCGAGAGATAAAGAAAAGTGGGAGAGATAAAAGGAGATAAGGGAGGGTGGGAGAGAAAAGGAGAGATAAAGGGGGGAGTGGGAGAGATAAGAAGAGATAAGAGAGGGTGGGAGAGATAAAGAGAGATAAAGGAGGGAGTAGGAGAGATAAGGAGAGATAAAGAGAATGGGAAAGATAAAGGAATATCAATAATGCTTAGGTGATGATAAAGATATAAAATAATTAATGATAATAACTAACACGAGATAAAAAAAAATATATGGTATCGAAATCCCATCGTCATAAGGGATGACTTAGAGATTAAAAAAGTGATCAAATAATAATAATGTTCACAAAAAACGGATTAAAATGATTATATATTTAATGATATTTACTAAATGTCGTGGGCATTGTAGTCGGTGATATGGTAGCGAGATCTGTCCCCCAGAAAAAGAAAAGAAAAGAAAAAAAAGAAAGAAAAGAAAAGAAAGAAAGGAAGAAAGAAAAAGAAAGAGAAAAAGAAGAAAAAACAGAAAGAAAATAAGAGAGAGAAAAAAAGAAAGAAAAGAAAGAGAGAAAAAAGAAAAGAGAAGAAAGAAAAGAAAGAAAGAAAAAAAGAAAGAAAAAACATGAAAGAAAGAAAAATAAGAGAGAGAGAGAAAAAAAAAAGAAAAGAAAAAAAATATATAATTGCTGTAAACAAGAAAGGAAGTCAATAATAATAATATAATAATAACATAATAATAATGATATGAAGTGAAGGTTATAATCAGGTGCCAACTACCACCTAATCTTCCACTAACCATCTACCATCTACCACAAAACAACTTACCAATAAAACCCTTCGACCACCCATCTACCACACAACTACCATCTACCATCCATCTACCATCTACCACAAGTTACTAGCACCCATTGACCACCCATCTATCATCTACCACACAACTACCATCTACCACAATTTTCCAGCATACTTCGACCACCAATCTACCATCTACCACTACTACCATCTACCACAAACTACCAGCACCCTTCGAATACCCATCTACCATACATCTACCATATACCATCTACCACAAGCTATCAGCATCCTTCAACCACCCTTCGACCACACAACTACCATCTACCACCCATCTACCACCACCTACCACACCATCTACCACACACCACCTACCAATGCCCCTCGATCGCCACGCAGTCCTTGAGCTCCTGCAGAGAGGTGGTCGACCAGGACACCTTTTGGCAATGGTCCTCCGCCGTGACTACCACCTTCGCCACGCCGAAGTCCAGACAGGAATCTCCTTCGCCGCAGACTTCCCCTTCTGCGCCTTCAGGGAGTGTGAGGCCCCAGTTGACGTGAGCTTCTCCTGCATATAGATAGGGGATTATGAGGAACGGGAGGTAAGGGGGACGGGATTGGGGAATGGGGGGGGAGGAGAGGGGTATTGTGAGGGGGTGATGGGGATAGGGGGGAAGGAGGGGGGAGGTGGGGGGAGGTGGGCAGGAGGGGGGGAGAGGTAAGAAGGGAAGGAATAAGTATGTGTTGGGTATGTCTGTTTTTTTTCTTTTTTTTTTCTTAGGGGTCTTTTTTTTCTTTCTCTCTTTATTTCATTATTGATCTCTTTTTTTCTCTCTTTCTTTCCTTTATTGGTCTCTTTTCTTTCTGTTTTCTCTCTTCTTTCTCTCTCTCTCTCTCTCTCTCTTTCTCTCTCTCTCTCTCTCTCTCTCTCTCTCTCTCTCTCTCTCTCTCTCTCTCTCTCTCTCTCCCTCCTTTTATTTATTCATTTTTCTTATTTCCATGCGGGGATAAAGGAAAACAGGATTTAATAAAAATGTTGTATAAGCTCTTTTAAAACAAATTCTAACGTTTATAGATTATCATTTCATTTATTGGAAACAAAAGACTGAAAGAAATCGTGTTTAATCCCTAACAGAATATTAGATTCCTTTTACAATTTTCATGTAGTTCATTTGTTTGTCTAGATATTGCTTTTATCATTTTAAAGCAAGAGGTATGTTATCTATGTATATATCGTCATCAGTATTTAGTTTTAAAGTTCTTATTATCATTACCGTTATCATTATTGCCAATGTTATTCATATGAACATTATCAGTTTTATCATTGTTATTCCTATTATTATAATCATCTTCATATATAACATCATCTTCATTATACTCATTTTTGTTATTGTAGTTATTATTATTATTATCATTATTATTATTATTATTATTATTATTATTATTTCCTCTTGTTATCACAGGAAAAAGTTCCTGTTAAGTTCTTCCCGAAAGCAAGCTAGAACAACTAGCCTCAGGTTTCGAGAACCTTTCTCAATGTTCTTGCAGTTCCTAACAACGCCGTTTTCTGTATCACTTCAGTCCTGATCTTGATCCCTCTTTTCTCTATGTACTGCTCTGCTTCTTTTGTGCCGCATCCCAATGCACCAACTACAACTGGAATGACACTTACTTTTCGAAGGCACCATAACCTTTCGATTTCTGTTTTTAAATCTTGATACTTTTCGATTTTCTCTTGTTCTTTCTGTTTTATCCTTGTATCTCCTGGCACGGCTATGTCGATGATCAAGCACTCTTTTTCTGATTTTAGCTAGACGACAATGTCTGGTCGCCTATGCTCAATTTCGTAATCTGTGTTTATATTAAAGTCCCACAGTACCTTAATGCTTTCATTTTCAGTAACGCCTTCTGGCTTATGATTGTACCATTGTTCTGCCCTGGGTAGGTAATACTTCTTACATATTTCCCAGTGAACTATCCGTGCTTCGTTGTCGTGGCGTGGGCTAGTTTGTCGTGGGCTAGTTTGCTACACTCACATATGATATGGCTCACTGTTTCCCCCTTCTCACCACACATTCTGCAATTCGGCGAATCTCTTGATTTGTCGATATGATGTTTGACGTAATTCGTACGTATTGCTTGCTCTTGTGCCGCCATAATCAGTGCTTCTGTCCCTTTCTTCAAGTCTCCGTTTTTTAACCATAACCATGA